CTTTGCGATCACAGGCCGGTTTCTATTGTTGTTGACGCTGCTGCCATGGCGTCGGCTCCACACATGCCACAAACGATCAAGAAGCAGGTTAGGTTCGATGTGTCGCTCTGGAGGCACTATGTGCGTTTCTTAAATTCCGAGGTGATTAGGCACCAGTGTCGGAAGCTTTACGGCAGATTACAACTGATCTGAGCGCAGAATCTACTTACTAATAAATAGTACCAGGGCGGTTGAGCGTGTCGGTACGGCTTTGACTAGGTGATTGGAGAAAGCATTTGGACAGACAGACAGACAGACAGACAGACAGACAGACAGACAGACAGACAGACGGACAGACAGACAGACAGACAGACAGACAGACAGACACACAGACACACAGCACAGACAGACAGACAGACAGACAGACAGACAGACAGACAGACAGACAGACAGACAGACAGACAGACAGACAGACAGACAGACACACAGACAGACACACAGACAGACACACAGACACACAGACACACAGACACACACACACAGAGACACACACACAAAAAAAAACAAAGCGATTGTCGGCCCAAACGTGGGAACAGCCATGTTTCATACCGTCTCCTTCAGCATCCCGGCTGGTTGCCTGATTTGCATGTCAATCAAAGAGCAACATTTTCCTAGCTCGTTGATGGTGTTTAATCTAAGAAAACTTCGAGCAAAATTGCCGTCATACCTAACCTTAACGTATACGCTCTTGGTTTCTCTGGACGCATGGATAGCGGGCGCCATCGACCCACAAGAAGTGGACAACTGCCGTCGCAGCACAACGCCAAAAGCAAGGTAATGGCAGCCTGGACTTGCATACAATCAATGGAAATTTCAAGAGCCATTATTACGGGCTAATCGTGACTTCCATAGCAGCAACTGCAAAGCTGCAGTTCCAGGTCTAAGTAAGCCTTCTGGCAACGCTACAGTCAAAGCTGGTCCACTAGCAGGTCAGGTAACGCATGGATCATCCTGTAGGCAGGAGCGTGTCGATAAGCCTCCACGGCTAGTTACGAACGGGAATGCTACCTTTTGACGTCCCAAGTATAGCCAGTGTTTTTTTTAAGTAATATATTACTTTTAAGGAATAAAGAAGCCTTTTTGGCCTTTGGAAATAAGGAACAAAGTGAGGCCGATCCGTACATTTTCATTCCTTCAGCCAAAAACGTCCATTGCTGCCAGATTGCTCCGTAGTGTGCAGAACTTAGTATTATCGATCATAAAATAGATATGAGGGGCCGTAAGAAGGTCAAGCCCGTGAGTCAACGCGGCATAGCAGAATGTATGACCGGTCCTTCCATAGAAAAACACGCAAAAGGCAACGACTTGAACGCCGAACAAACACAAAAACAGCAAGATAAGTCTAAATTTTTTCCTGATAAAGGCGTTTGGGACGGCGGTGCTGTTGTCGGTAATGCATCGGCAATGTTGCTGCCAGCGGCGACCGATGACACGGGCGCCATTACCCCTGCCTTCCATGGCGGTTGTGATCAGCATAAGCGCAAGCTGTCACCCAATCAGCTTGACAACAACGAATGCGGCGAGGCGCCCAACCCGAGTGCTCGCAGTGCCAAGCGGGCTCAGACACAGCGCATCCGCAAGGGCATGAGCGACGGTGCATGGCGGGACAAGCAGAAGGAAAATCCCCACAGATGGCAGATTGCCTGGGCCGCCAGGTATCCCTGGGCCCAGCCTGTGCATGCTGACGTGGACG